TATAGTCGGCTTTCTATATTTTAACGTTGCCTTCACTAGCATGTGATCTGTATCCAAATCTGCCCCTCGATAACTTCTTGCATCTAATACGTAGTTAATATGTTTACTTTCTATCGTTACATGGTCTATTTGGTTTACTGTCTTTCCATTGGGTGAAGTCCATGTACCCTTATGTATATTCTTATGTTGGAAAAATGTTGTTACTATCCATAGGTCCTTCTCTGTTGCAAACTCTATAAGTTTCTTTCCATTTTCATTACTCTGATTATGCTTACTATGGCTCCCTATAATCGGTTTATATATTTCTTCTTTCCCTATCTTTGCATGAAAATCTCCAATTACCATTTTGACATCGTATCTTGGAATTTTATTATAGACTCCTTCAATTCTCTCATAAAATTCTTCTTTTTCTTCTTCTTCTTTTTCTTCTGTTGGACAATGTACATTAATAATACTTATTTTCCTGTATTTACTTCTTATTCTTAATTTGCATAATCTATTTGAAATGGGCAGAAATTCTACTATTTCCGATTTTAATTTTTTTGTCACCAAAAACCCTGTTCCAAATATTCTATCATCTGCTCCACTGTTAAAATATATGTAATTTCCTATTTCTTGCGTAAAATTTCCTTTTTGTTTCGTTTCTTGGATAGCCACAATATCTATCGCATAGTTGCTCATAATCTGCGTCAGTCTAATAAGTGCGCCTTCCGTGTAAGTGCCTCGGACATTCCATGTAGCCACATATATTTTCCCATCCTTCTTATTCTTTACATTTTTTTTAACTTCTATATCCCCATTTTGTTTTTCGAATTTCCCATAATTTCCCACCTTTTCTTTTTCCTTCTTGCTCCTTAATTCATAATCCGTTTCCATTGCCCTATACAAATCCTTTCTATCCCAAATATTTTCTTCTAGTTTTTTTGGACATCTGATCGAGCAGGTTCTAATTTCTCTGCGATTTTATTCCATTTCCACTCTACTCCATCTACCGTAACTTTGTTATATCCTATTTTAACTGATTTACCTTTATTTCTTTCTTCTTTTGCAAATCCCCTTATTTTTTTCGCTCTTTCCAGTTCCTTTTTTGTTAAGTCCTCGTTTATAAATATTCTTTCCTCATGAATCTCTCTAAGCTTATATTTATTCTTCATAACTTTCTCTTTGTCTTCTTCCCCTTTAAGCTCTATTAAACATGTCCTCTCTCCTAATTTACGTGCATTTCTGATATCAATTTCTATTTTCAGATATGATTTGATTAAACTCTCTGTATAGTTCTTTAATGCTTTTTGGTCCTCAGTACGTATTTTAACTCCACTCATAATTACATTGTTTTTCCTTTTATCTTTCTCTATCCCATTTTCTCCCTGATCTCTATTAGCTCTTCTTTAATCTTTTGGTTTTCCTGTTTTATTTCCACATTTTCTTTCCGCAGAATTTCATTCTCCCTTAAGATATTTTTAATTTCCTTTCCTGTTTCCACGTGTTCGGTTTTAATTTGAAGAACTTCTGTCTTTAATTCCTTAATCATCTCTATTAACATGTCTAATTTATCTTCATTTCTTTTACTATCCTTTGAAGGCGTTCTTGGCGTTTTTGAACTTTTTACAAAAATAACTCCTTGGTCATCCTTAACTCTTTTCCTTTTCCCTTCGTCTGTTGAATAATCGTCACTATCCATTTTGATTTGCTTATTTCCTTTCACTATCTTTATGTATCTATATCAATTTGTTCTTAATACAGCCCTGCCTTTACTTTTATTTCAATAGTTTACCAAGCTACAAAAACCTTATCACACCGCGATAAGAGGTCCGCCCAGATCGACTCCTCAGAGGCTTCACTCTTCTCAGTATTTATATTTACTCTTTTACTATTTTATTTCTTATCCAACCTTATTGTCTTTTCCCTTCCCGCTTAAACACACTTTCACTTACACTTGCACTTAAATTTTGCACCTTAATTTACTCGCTATCGCCCAAGATTTGGGGTTAATTGCGGAGCAAATCAATGTACGTCTTATTATATTCGCACCAGGACCGGATGGGCCTATTAACAATAATTATATACAAAATTAGTGTGAAAGACAAAATTAAAAAGTTATGGTTCTGGGTTTTTTACACTTTTACTTATCACCTTTAGAAAAGAAATAAATATTTGCAAACGGGATCGAAATAAA